TCATTCCCCCCCCCTTCATTATCATCCACTGACATTCTATAACTTGGGGTCTAGTGAATAGCAATATATGCATTGATGTGCAGAGAAGGAGCCCTGTACTGCGGGAGGCTGGGCTTGATAAGTTTCTAGGCCAACAGGTTACAGGACATATTCCATTTTGAGAATGACAAACCACAGTTTGATCATACACAATGGAGCAGCATGGCTTTGTGTTATAGCTGAGCCATGTCATTAACTGAATTTGCCCGTACTGTTTTCCTAAATTGTCTGTGTGCATGTCAGTGTGCATGTCGTATATAAACAAGCCCCTTTCCTGAAATGAAAGGGACTGAAATGAAAAGCACAAGTGAACAGTTAAACTAGTATTTAAATATGTGGCAGTATAAAACACTTGAGGGTATGCACAGACTTGTCCCCAGTTCTAGTACTTGTACCAAATTTATCCACGCTGTGAAATGTTTATTTGAAAAAGTAAAGGATTAAAGGAGGTGGAAAGAGAGAGGGAATACTAAAAAGGAAACATTACCTGATCTTTTCTGTGTTGAGATGTCATTGGGGTGGCTTATAATGTTCTCTGGTTTGAGCTGACCTTGGATCTATGCCATCCTGATGGTCAGGGGCAAGAGTACCAAGCAGGAATCTAGACAGAGTTTAGGCAATAAATCTAAAAAAGGTCCAGAAATTAGTGCATGTGGAGTAGGGCCAAGAGAATCAAGCAACCTTAAACTCTCAGGATACATAGATGTAATTCCTGGGTTGACCACTAGTCGGAAAGATGAAGGCAGCTCTTGTTATGGGGTCAGGAATAACAGAAATAAATGTTTAATGTTTGTGTGGTTATAAGAAGGGCTCAAGCATCTGAAGTAAACTTCTGAACTGAGTGCAAGGGGTAGAGAGCAGCCCTTTTGCAGGAGAAGTTCTTAGAGGAAAAGGCTTTTCAAGAAAGGGGAGCTGAAACAACAAAGAGTTACAGCATCAATGCTATAGTCTCCCTTAGTTGAAGTTTTGAGCTTCTGTGAAGGATTCTTCTCTTAGGATAAATCAAGAGGAAGCAACAGGGCATGGCACTTTGATTGACTGGAAATTTCTTGAATAAAAGCTGTGGTGCTGATGGTACCTGATTAATTCATTTTTCTGATTTGTTCTTTTGTGCTAAGCCTCCACATTTCCATGACTGAGTTAGCTGGTCATTGAACACTATGAATGAAATTTAATCATGCTAATACAGTCTGCTCATGTTTTTCTCCTGGGCAGTCTAGCCTCCTATGTATTGCATCCAGGTCCCTGACCAAGGTTCTAGAGATGGGAAGGTCTGGGGAAACAACAACAACCCTGTGCTCCCCCTCCCGTATTTTCCTCCAAGAACCTCCCTACACCTATTTTTGGTTTTTTTAATAAAAAGTTTGGAAAGCAGTAAGCTCCAATTACTTGTTTTCTCTTTGGAATGAATGATGTTGTTGTTGTTCAGTCACACAGTCGAGTCTGACTCTTCGCGACCCCATGGACCAGATCACGCCAGGCCTTCCTGTCTTCTGCCGTCCTCTGAAGTTTGCTCAATTTCATGTCGGGTTAGAACGGATAAAAGCGGTCGGGTTAGAACGGATAAAAGGAAGTACTTCTTCACCCAAAGAGTGATTAACACTTGGAATTCACTGCCACAGGAAGTGGTGGCGGCTACAAGCATGGACGGCTTCAAAAGGGGATTAGATAAGCATATGGAGCAGAGGTCCATCAGTGGCTATTAGCCACAAGGTATAGATAGGGACTCTGGGGCAAGTGATGCTCTGTCATCTTGGTGCTTGGGGAGGTCAACAGTGGGAGGGCTTCTAATGTCCTGGCCCCACTGGTGGACCTCCTGATGGCACTGGTATTTCTGGCCACTGTGTGATACAGAGTGTTGGACTAATCCAACATTGGCATCTCTTATGTTCTTATGTTCTTATGTTCGTTGCATCGATGACACTGTCTAACCATCTCATCCTTTGCTGTCCCCGTCTTCTTTGACCTTCAATCTTTCCCAGCATCAGGGACTTCTCCAGTGAGTGCTCCCTTCTCATTGGGTGGCCAAAGTATTTGCGCTTCAGTTTCATTATCTGGCCTTCCAGGGAACAGTCAGGGTTGATTTCTTTGAGGATTGACTGATCTGATCTTCTTGCAGTTCAAGGGACTCTCAAGAGTCTTCTCCAGCACCATAGTTCGAATGAATCTATTCTTCGGCTCTCGGCCTTCCTTATAGTCCAACTCTCGCAGCCATGCATGACTACTGGGAATACCATTGCTTTGACCATGCGGACTTTGGTTGGCAGGGTGATGTCTCTACTTTTTACCATGCTGTTTAGGTTCGCTTGTTTAGGAATGAATGGTACACAGGGTTTAATATTCAAAATGTTTCCTGTGAAGATATTTATGTAAAACAAGCGATAGCAATAGTTGATCGTTTCGGTGTATACTGTAGACAGGCATAATATCTTCCAAAAAATTTTTTTTGCTTAAATGTCAGTACGTTTTATCCATAGTTAATATGCTATAGTAAGTATCATACTCTGACCTGGATGGTCCATGATAGCCTGATTTCTATGTGTTTTGGAAGCTAAGCAGGGTTGGCTGTTTTGTACTTGGATAGGAGAATACCAGAAACATCCAGGGCTGCTGTGTAGAGGCAGGCCATGACAAACCACCTCTGCCTGTTTGTTGCCTTAAAACCCCTATGGGGTCACCATAAATTGGCTGACTTTATGCCAGTTCCCACCACAAAAGTGTAGCATAAAAATACACTATTGAAAATCAATGTTTTTGGTATTATGAAGTTCAACTTGATATTCAAATATGCTGGTAGCCCTCTATTATGACTGTTTACAGGGCTATTTTTGGGCAGGAACGCACAGGAACGAAGTTCTGGCTGGCTTCAGAGTTGGCCACACCTACTTGGGCAAGATAATAGAGAGGTCAGTGGCAGTTCAGTTACAGGGCTTCTTGGATGACGCTTCCATTTTAGACCCCTTCCAGTCCGGCTTTCACCCAGGCCATAGGATGAAGACAGTACTGGTTGCCCTCACAGATGACCTTCAGAGGCATCTGGATCAGGGTGGAATGGCAGTGGTGTTGATGTTAGACCTGTTGGCAGAGTTTGACACAGTCAACCATCAGCTACTGATCCACCGCCTCACCGACATTGGAGTCCAGGGACTGGCCTTACAGTGGCTTACTTCCTTTCTCCAAGGTTAGGGACAAAGGGTGGCATTGGGTGAATAGCTATCCCGAAGGCACCCACTGGTTTGTGTAGTGCCCCAAGGGGTAGTGCTGTCCCTGATGCTCTTTAACATCTATATGCACCCCCTTGCCCAGATTGCCTGGAGGCATGGGCTGGGATGTCATCAGTACGCAGATGACACCCAGCTCTATCTGTTGTTGGGCGGCCAGTCTGACTCCAAGCTGGTTGGCACAGATTGAGCTGGCTGAAGCTGAATCCAATTGAGCCTGTTTCTTCATGCAAACAGATGTTCTATGGAGCAGAGGTCCATCCGTGGCTATTAGCCACAAGGTATAGATAGGTACTCCGGGGCAAGTGATGCTCTGTATTTTTGGTGCTGGGGGGGGGTTAATAGTGTGAGGGCTCCTAGTGTCCTGGCCCCACTGATGAACCTCCTGATATCACCTGGTATTGCTGGCCACTGTGTGACAGAGTGTTGGACTGGATGGGCCATTGGCCTGATCCAACATTGGCTTCTCTTATGTTCTTATGTTATATCACTGAGCCATAGCTTCTGCCCTAAAGATGTCCAAAAGTCAGGTATAGGATTGGAATTCCCCTATCCGTGTAGGCTATAAGACGTTACCTCATGATTTATTGGGCTAGTGGTCCATCTAGTTCAGCACTGGCTACAGCCTGAGATCGTTTAACTGGAAATGTAGGGAGATGCCCCTGGGATTTTCTACAATCATTCTGGTCAGGAAGCAGACAGAATTTCATGCACACACACATACCCTGATAAGCTTGAGTTCTGTTTCTCAGCACAGGCATATACTTGATTTGTATGCCACCTCCAGAAGGATCCCTTGGTGGGCTTGCACAGAAGGATGAAATATAGTTGATTTGGGGATGGCCAGGGTCCAGCGTACCTAAGGGACCGCCTTTCTCCATATGTTCCCCCAAGAGCTCTACGGTCGGGGTCGCAACACCTATTAATGGTTCCCGGCCCCAAGGACATCAAGCTGGCTGCAACCAGGGCCAGGGCTTTTTCGGCGGCGGCTCCTATCTGGTGGAATGAGCTCCCAGAGCAGGGACCTGGCGCAGTTCTGCAGGGCCTGCAAGACGGAGCTCTTCCGCCAGGCATAGGAGCTGCCGCCGTCACTGTACCACCACCGAGCTGCCATCTTCGACGGTGGATTAGATCTGGAGGTGAGCCAGCCCTGGGCAGATGCCTAGTTAACCGAAGAGTGTATGTTGTCAAGTTAGGTTGACAAATTGGAACTCATCTTGGATTAAGAAAATTTAACATCAAGAGCACCGCACTTTACTTAATGATTGTTTTATACTGTTTCATGATTGTTTTTATGTTGTTTTAACTGTTGTTGTGGCAATTGCCTCTGTTGTTAGCTGCCCTGAGCCCGTTGGGGAGGGCAGGGTATAAATCTAATAAATAAATAAATAAATCTCTTCTCAGATAGCAGTGCTCTGGAGGGGCATCCTGTTCAAACTCCTTTCCTGTTATGTCCTTGCTTCTGGCCCCTTTTATCCAGTCCATAAGTAGTATAAGTTTATTGCCTTAGCCATAGGCCATAACATAATACATCAGATCATAAAATGGTAATGTCGACAATAGAAAAAGATCAGTATACTCCTATATTTCTTCTACTTTGCGTTAATTATGAAACTCATTCTGATTTTCCTTGTTGCTAACTTTCAGTGTGTACATTTCCTTGGCTCAGAGCACTAATCTGTAAAAAAAAAAAAAGCATTGTTCCTATTAAAAATGTTTTCCTTTTTAATTACATTCCAGGGCAATGTGACTTTTGCGTGCTCAGAGCCACAAATCACTCCCATCACCTTTGACCGTTCCAACAACAGTTACCTGCTCTTGCCAGGCACCCCACAACTTGACGGACTGTCAGTAAGTTTCCAGTTTCGAACATGGAACAAAGATGGTTTGCTCCTGTCCACAGAACTGTCAGGAGGTTCAGGTTCTCTCCTAGTATACCTCCATCATGGCCTACTATCCCTTATCATCCAGAAAGGAGTAGAGAAATATGTGGCAATCAATGCAGGTAATCATATACTCATTTCAGATATTAATAAGCACTTGGAACGTGACTCATTTGTTTTAAGGGAAGGCATAATTGGGCAATCCAAGCTGACAACTGTCTTTTAATTGCTCTGCCGAGTTTAGTGAGTGGGAAGATCTTAACAATATGCAGATTTGTGGCTGATCGGACAAGTCCTTTGCTTGATATTTGTGTAAAGGACACTGAATTCTTTGCCGGCAATTCAAAAGGCAAGAAATGTTAACCTCTTCTTCCCCACCCAATCACTATGGGGACATTCTAGAGGATTAGCCATTCCCCCCCCCTCTACTTTAGCAAAAAACAAAACGCACACAAAAAAAGTTTAGTTGCATCATAAAGATTAACTCATTTATTGCAGAATGAGTTTTCATATTCAGGAGATGAATAATGTTTCTTTAAAGAGCCACAGAATGATTTGGCTACAATTCTAAATACAAGTTAGCCAAGCACTTTTTTTTAAAGTAAACCATTCTCCCTTGTTGTACAGGTATTTTGCAGCATAAAAATCAAAATCCACAAAAGTTCAAGTTAATCCTAAAAACATTTCTTTGAAGTTCCATTGTGAACAATTAGCCTTCCAAAAAAGATCTCCAGACTTTGGACAGGGATGCTACTTTCCTGATCTGCTCAGGACAGCATGACCAAAATTCATGAGATTTATCGTTTCAAGGCAAAATCTACTCACTCCAGTGTTTTACATTTATATGATTCATTATTCCATGTAACATCCGATTGTGTGTACATGTGCAGGGGAGAGGGGCAATGGGAATATATATAAAACAAAAATACATACTTGGCTTCTTGTAGAAAACACCTCTGAGCAGCTTTGCTCTGAGTAGTAGCAGACCCAGATTTCAGTTCAGTTTTTCCTGAGCAATGGTGGTGTAGAACAAATATCCACCTCGAGAACTGCTGTGGGCAGAAGGATACATATATCGATATCTAATACCGCCAGCGAACAAGTCTTCCATATATAATATTCGTCTTCAATTCTTCAAATTGACTTCTCGTTGGTACCTTACTCCACAACAGCTACATAATATTAAACCATCAATACATAATGTTTACTGGAAGCAGTGCGGTCAGATAGGGACATACTATCATTGCTGGTGGGGCTGTCTAGGAATACAATCTTTTTGGAGAAGTGTGATATCTCAGATTAATGAGATAACCAGGCAGACATTACTATGCAATCCGGAAGTGGTGCTGGAAAGATTCGAGTACAGGGGGCAGTAAGGAACTTATTTCGACATTATTAGCTGCAGCCAGGTTAACAATAGCAGCGGCTTGGAAATCTCCTTATCTCCCTACAATTTCAACATGGCAAGAGAAAATTTGGGATCAGTTTATAATGGCAAAAATTACAGACTCCCTGACGAGAGCGAATAACAGTAACACGCCAACCTACACCAAATTTGTTAGGACTTGGGCCCCTGTGTTAGACTACATGATAACGAAGGATATTCTTCCTGCTAAGCAGATCTATCATAAATGGTTATATTTATAGGCTATAGTAGGTAATCTATAATGGTCAGACTCATGGTGACTTACTAGTGCTGTATGGCGAGAATAGATGTTAGGAATGTATGTAATTATCCTTATTAATTTAGAATCAAAAAGTATTTGATGTATGTAATGTTAATGTTATTAACAAAAACAATAAAAACTTATTTTTAAAAAATATATCGATATCTCCCCTTGCTGAATAAACATGAGAGCTTGTTTACAGAATACTAGATAAGGGTCCAGTTTTCAGCTGTATGAATGGTTGATGCCCGTTCAACACTTTTGTTCTTCTGCTAAAGTGGACTCATTATTCAGAAGTATTATCTCTTCCCCTATGGTTGGTTCATCTGTTTTGTGCTTCTTCTTTATTCTCCAGGCAGCAATCTATATGATGGCCTATGGCATTCAGTTAACATCAATGCTAGAAGACATCACATCACCCTAACGCTAGATGATGGTGTAGCATCTGCTGTTCATGCAACTACTGTCTCACAGATTAATTCTGGGAAAAGCTACTATTTTGGAGGTAAGTTAGGTCCAGTGTGAAGACACTGTGGAAAACCATCTATTCAGAAGGGAGTGGGGGTGATATGTTTTTGTAAGCCCTGTTGCTAAAGTTGAACAATTACAGAATAAAATCTCCCAAAAAACTGTAGAACAAAAACAAAAATACAACTGGGATTGAGTAGTTTAAATGAATTTCGGAATGTGGGACTGAAGAAGGACCAAAAAGAGAAAACCTTACTTTTCTCTGTCTGTCCTCTCTCCCTTTTTTGGTGCATTTGTTATTTATTTGTAAAGATACTTCTATGCGTCCTCTTGTGAGTCCTGCTCAAGGCAGCCTACAATTAAAATAACCACAAAATTTAAAGCAAAATATAAAAGGTCAGGAAGGTCATCTCAAAGGGGGGAGGCAATGTGGGGTGGCAGAGGGGTTAAAAAGACTCTGGAGGTGAGGAAGAGGGTTCTTCCATTTGGGGCAGCTCTTTCACCTTGGTCCTTATCCATGAGGCAGGGAATAATGGACAGAAGTGCCAGCCTAGACATCTGATGTAATGATGAACTGTAATTTATTGCAACTTAAATAAAGCTTGCCTGTCCTAAGTCAAAAATCATTTAGGGAGCACCTAGAAAAGAGAGAGAAGAGTACATGTTTTCACCTTTTCTTTGTTCCCCTTCTAAACCCCAAAACTTGAACAGAATATGTGTCTTTTATGCATTTATTAAACTGGGTAAGGCAACACAAAAGCTCACTATCCTTGGAGCACAATAGCTGTACAGTGAAACGTTGTGATAGATCACCTCTGTGCTTGCTTGTAGAAAGGCAGTGGGAGGTGTGGCAACCCATGAGGCCACTAAATGGCAACAAAGGAATGGAGTGTTAGACAATGTCAACAGGAGTCTGGGTGCTGTTAGGCTGACCACTTGCCTCCTAGATCTGTGTCCCTCGTGACTGGTGAAAGCTAGCAGAGAGGGATTGTGAGGCTCTCTGGAAGATATTATCAATTCATCCCTGGATTCAGGATCTTTTTCAGTATGGCTGAAGGAGGCAGTGGTTACCCCACTCTTAGGTGGAATCTGCATTTACATTTTAAAATCAGTTTCGTGCTGCTGTGACACCATATTTCTCTATGCTTGTTTGAATGTTGTTTGGAGAAGATTCTTTTAAAGCAGTGGGGAGGTGCAATGACAGTGGAGCCGCCCCGAAAGGACGATAAACATATGTGGACATGCAAAAGTATGCTAGCACTGTTGAGGTGTGAAAATGACACCAAATGTAGACAGCTCTTTTTTTAATAGTTTATTTATTTTTTCCCATAACAAAAAAGCAAAGATATAGTCATATACAACAATTTTTGGAGTTTGCATTACTCATTTCCCCCCATCCATCTATCTATTTTTGCCATATTTTTTGGAACACATTTTTGTCTTTCCCTGACAATATTATATTTACTTTATCCATTTCTTTTATTTCCATAATTTTCATAATGAATTTTTCTCTGCTTGGTATTCTATCTGATTTCCAACATTTCGCTATGAGAATTCTAGACGTAGTAAGGATATATAATATCAAACATAGATCATTGTGTTTAATCCCATCTGGTAACATATTAAGTAAGTATACTTCTGGTTCCAACTTTGGGAAAGACAAATGCAGATTCGGCCTTAGAAGAACAAACTCAGATCCAATTGATCTGACCAATTACCGCCCAGTTTCTAATCTCCCATTTCTGGGTAAGGTAATTGAAAGAGTGGTGGCAGAGCAGCTTCAGACTTTCCTGGATGACACATAGGTGTTGGATCCATTCCAATCCAGTTTCCGCCTAGGCCACGGGATGGAGACAGTGTTGGTCACCCTCACAGATGATCTTTGCAGACAGCTGGATCGGGGCGGGTCAGCGCTGCTGCTATCGATCAGTCTGACAGCAGCATTTGACACAGTCAATCACCATCTATTGACTCACTGCCTCGCTGACATTGGTATTCGTGGGGTAGCCTTGCAATGGCTCACTTCATTCCTGTATGGTTGGGGACAGAGGGTGGCATTGGGGGGGAAGGTGTCCCCAAGACACCTGTTAGAATGTGGGGTCCCCCAGGGGGCACTTCTCTCTGCAATGTTATTCACCATCTACATGCACCCCCTTGCCCAGCTGGTGTGGAGTTTCGGGCTGGGATGTCATCAATATGCCGATGACACCCAGCCAGAGGTCATTTCGGGGGGATCGCGGGGGATCGCAGTTCCCCCGGGTGAGGTACGGGGGGTGGGGCACATGACAAAGCCCCGCCTCCTGCTTCCGGCCACCCCGCTTCCAGCCCTCATTCAGCCAGGAGGAGGCAGGAGAAGAGGGAGGGTAAGTTGCTTCCTCCCTGCCTCTCCCCACCCCTGCTTGCCTGGGGCCAGGGAGGGCCTTCGCGGGGCTTCCTTGCACTCCCGCCGGCCTTGCAGGTCCACCGCCAGGCCCCTCATGGGGCTCGGCAGTGGAGCTGCAAGGCCGGCAGCGGCGGCCGGGACCGTTGGGGGCGGGGTGTGTGGCCTTATGACACACTTCCGGTGATGTCAGGGTGTGTGGCCTTATGACACACTTCTGGTGATGTCAGGGGGTGTGGCATATGCTAATGAGTTATGCTAATGAGTTCCCCTAGCTCTTTTTCTATGAAAGGACCCCTGCACCCAGCTATTTCTGTGGATGGGTGGGCAGCCAGACGCCATTCCCATGAATTTAGCTGAGGGCCTGGAGGCCATGGTTGTGTGGTTAAAACAGAGCCAGTTGAAACTGAATCCAGCTGACAGGTTCCGTGGCTGGGTGGGGGAGAGCCAAGGTTGGGTTTTCATCTCCCAGCACTTGACAGGACGCCCTTATCGCTAGCCCAGGTTGCGAAGGTTGCCAAACTGGCGTTTCTTCAACTGTGCCAGGTTAGGCACCTGGCTCCCTATTTGCCTTGCCCCAACGTAGACATGGTAATCCATGAAACGGCCAGCTCCAGAATAGATTACTGCATTTCACTCTACACGGGCCTACCCTTGAACCTGACCCAGAAGTTCCAACTGATCCAGAATGTGGCTGCACGGGTCCTAACCTTCAAGGCCCTTAGGGTCAGATACCCACTTGTCTTTGGGACTGTCTCTCAATATACCTTAGGCATTATGATTTGGAAATAGGAACCTCCTGGTGGTCCCTGGCCCAGGAGAGATCCAGCTGTCCTCAACCAGGGCCAGGGCCTTTTCATCCCTAACCCCTACCTGGTAGAACTCTCTGCCTGAGGACATCCATGCCCTATGGTATCTGTTACCATTCTGTAGGGCTTGCAAGGCAGAGATGTTCCACCAGGCATTTGGATGAGGACAGCAATGGCCTGGCACTCTTACATTCCCCCCCCCACGGCTCTGCATGTTACTTAACCCAGGGGGGAAAGTGGGTATTGGAAATTTATCTCCATCTTGGATTGTACTGTTTTACTGTGGTTGTTGAATTTTAATGTTGTTTTAAGTCTAGTATTATTGTATTTTTATTGATGCTCACAGGGAAGAGCAGCCTGATAAGTCTAATTTAATAAATAAATAAATAATAAATAAATAATTGATTCTCTCTGGCAGAAGATACTTCCAAGAGTCACTGGCAGCAGTCTGTGGTTACTCAGTTGATAACTGGCACCCTTTGGGAGTGAGGGGAAGGAGCATATTGCCAAGTAGAGTTTTGTCTGACTCCCAAGAGTAAAGGAACAGAGAAGGGCTTGCGAGTCTGTTAAGAACCTAAGAAAAGCCGATGTTGGATCAGGCCAATGGCCCATCTAGTCCAACACTCTGTCACACAGTGGCAAAAATTACCAGGTGCCATCAGGAGGTCCAGCAGTGGGGCCAGGACACTAGAAGCCTTCCCACTGTTGCCCCCACCCAAGCACCAAGAATACAGAGCATCACTTGCCTGAGAGTTCCTATCTATACCTTAATAGCCACTGATGGATCTCTGCTCCATATGCTTATCTAATTCCCTCTTGAAGCTGTCCATGCTTGTACCTGCCACCACCTCCTGTGGCAGTGAATTCCATGTGTTAATCACTCTTTGGGTGAAGGTGTACTTCCTTTTATCAATTCTAATCCGACTGCTCAGCAATTTCATGGAATGCCCACAAGTTCTTGTATTGTGAGAAAAGGAGAAAAGTACTTCTTTCTCAACCTGCTCTGTCCCATGCATAATCTTAGAAACCTCGATCATGTCACCCCTCAGCCGTCGTTTCTCCGAGCTAAAGAGCCCCAAGCGTTTTAACCTTTCTTCATAGGGAAAGTGTTCCAACCCTTTTATAACTCTAGTTGCCCTTTTCTGCATTTTTCCAATGCTATCATATCCTTTTTGGGGTGTGGTGACCAGAACTGTACACAGTACTCCAAATGAGGTCACACCATTGATTTATACGGGGCATTATGATACTGGCTGATTTGTTTTCAATTTCCTTCCTAATAATCTCCAGCATAGCGTTGGCCTTTTTTATTGCAGTTGCACACTGTCTAGACATTTTCATTGAGTTATCTACTATGACTCCAAAATCTCTCTCTTGGTCAGTCTCCACCAGTTCGGACCCCATCAATGTGTATTTATAGTTAGGATTTTTGCCTCCAATGTGCATCACTTTGCACTTGCCCACATTGAACCCCATTTGCCATTTTGAGGCCCACTCGCCCATCCTCGCCCATCCTGGTTCTCACCACCCTGAACAACTTCGTGTCATCCGCAAATTTAGCCACTTCACTGCTTACTCCCAACTCCAAATCATTATTAAACAAAAAGCATCGGACTGAGTTGTTAAGCTCACCCGCTTTATCTACAGTGGGGCCTGAGTTAAATAGGGACGGGGCTGCTGGTCTATGTATACAGAGTTCAAACTTCGTCAAAGCCTATGATGAAATGTATTTCTTTATTATTTATTACTTTAGATTTGTATCCCGCCTAGCCGGAGCAAACTGTCTCAAGGCGGCGTACACAAAAAGATAGATAAAACAACAAAACAATAAATACATTAAAATTGACG